GACCAAGTTCCAGGGGACTATGGAACATCTCTCAACATGTCCTGTAAATTTTGAGTCACCTGTCCTCTTGTTCAGGGAGGACATGGAGACCCCACGAGATGGACTTGAACCAGTGTCCAGTCTACAAAGAGGAGGGTCAACTCAGAGGAAACATCTCATTTATGCTCCCAAGTGAAGCCAGACATGGTCAAACAGGACCTCTGATTTATCTTCACATAGATGGAACTGGTAAAGAAAGGAGCCAGGAGCTCCTCCCAAGCCCATGTGACCCCTGAGGAACAGATCCTTAAATGGCCTTAACTCTAAAAATAAATTGATTTATTTGCGCCAACTGTATGGTCTTAAACACCCAAAAGGAAAGTATAACCAAAGAGTAAAGTCATCAGTATATTTCTTTAAGAGTTCAAGAGGCTTAAGTCTATATAAAAAGTTATTTAGACAATTATTTCTCATTGACGATTTTATTCCTAACCAGAAAGTGCTGTCCAGATGTAAGATTTCAAATCTTGGTCTCCAATACTGTAGTGCCCACCTGTAGCTAAGGGAGACAACCAGCTATTGTTCTAAAACGATAAATTTTTCTCCCCCTATTTAGAAGCTTTTGAGAGGGAACTGACACTGATTCTAACCACTCCAACAGCTATCAAAATACCTGAAAGTAAATCCTGAATCCATCACTCTAGAGTCCAGCCTTGGAAGACAAAAGAGGAAGAACCCAATAGAGGGATGCTTTTGGAAGCCCTTGTCAAGAAATTCCAATGGACCTTCATATGAACATTTGAAAATTGCCCTGCTCTTTTTTCTAATTCCCTGTCTAGAACTTGTAATGCTAATTACTTTTGCCTTTACTTCTCCTTCACATCTCCTATTCACGATTTAAGGGCTTTCTTTTCCCTTTAGAAATAAGAGTTGTGCAACTTGGGAGTCTTTTAGATAGACTCACTGAAGAGGTACTCCAATTGCCTCACCCTGTGCCCCTGTTCAGTATGGAAGAAGCCAGAGCGGTCTGTGTCCCTATTCCCTATTGGCAATTTGGGTAATCCCTTCAGAGGATGGCGTGATAAGAACAGGAAGTAGGAATTGGTTAGGCAGTTAGGATAAAAAGACCCCAAAGAAAAGTAGCCAGTTTCTTGGCTAAAAGTCAAAATGCCCTTGGGACTGTTAGCAACATGCTCTGTTCCAAAGGCCAAAAATGTCAAAAGTATTTAGGAGCTTGTATGTAATCCTTAAAAGATTTTAGGGTTACCTCGTCAGAGGGGGGAATATTAGAGTACCCAAAAGCTCCATAAAATAAAAGAAAGAAGGAAAAAAAAGAAGAAGAAAAAAGTGATGGGGAGATATGGGAGGTGTTGGAGGGAGGGAGTGGGCATGGATTTGATCAAAACACCTTATATGCATGTATGAAATTCTCAATAAAGTTTTTGTAAAAGTTAAAAAAAAAAAAAAACACTGTTCTTGCAGAAGACCTGGGTTTGAATCCCAGCACCCACATGGCAGCTAACACGTGTCCCTAACTCTAGTTCCAGGGGATCCGATGACCTCTTCTGTCCTCTGAGGGCATTACACAACATGGGTGTACTTACCTATATGCAGGCAATACACTCATACACATAAATAAATACAATAAAATAAAAATATATAAAAAAAGAAAATGCCATAATGAAACCTAATACTGTACATATGAATTTAAAAATCAAAATATTTGAAAATACCTAATTTTGACAAAAATAAAATGAAAAATCAAACCAAAGCACAGGTGAGTTTACTACTATATATTAAAATTTCCAAATTCTGGAAAGTAGTATCTGAAGAAGCTTCCCTGCTGATTACACATGCTCTCCTTGACAGGATGCTTCAAAGGTTGTGGAGTGGCCATGTGCTCAGTAACTTAGTACAGGTATCTGCATAGGGGAAGCAACAGTAGTCAAGAGATTTTGGTTACAGATAATTTCTACCTGCAAAAGGCTACTGCTTCTTTAAGTTATACAAATACCACTTGTTTTTCTTTTCCTGGAAAAGCAGAGGCTCCACATCAGTTCTAAGAACGGTACTGTTCCCCTTCAATCAGTGTCAAGAACAGCGGCACTACAACTATGGGCACCAAAAGCTAACATGCTTTCACTTGGTTAGGCAGTGCATGTAGACATTCCCCATGCAGGCCTGGAGAGGTCAGAAAACAAAGATGGGACATAGCCTTTGTTTTGTCTACCAAGAGGAAGAAGCCCTCCTACCTATGGGTGGCAAAAGGCTCCACACTCAAGCACCAAGAGGCTCATCATGCACAAGTGGTAGTCTAGGAAGAGAGTTGGTGTTTTTTGCAGTAATACACATGCAACATGCATGTGCACGCATGCACACACACACGGAGGGAGGGAGAGAGGGAGGGGGGAGGAGGGGAGAGAGAGAGAGAGAGAGAGAGAGAGAGAGAGAGAGAGAGAGAGAGAGAGAGACTCGATTTTTCCCATTTCCACCCCCAGGATGCTGAACATCTGCTCAAATCAGTGCTTCCCTCTCAAGTAACATCTGGCAGAAAGCCCCAAGCTCCCAAGTCAGCCCATCAGCAGAGCTAAGTGGGCTGTGACCAAGCTGTCTGACTGCAGAGATTCCACATGCCTCATAGATGGGAAACATAGAGAGAAAAAAGGACAACAGAAAACTGGTTGTCCCCAAAGAGGAAGCATTCTGTCCTGCACATAATTTGAACAGGACAGAGTGCTGAGAGTGTCCAGATAGGAGTGTTGCAGGAAGTCCACACCCTCTGAAAATGGTGCACCTTCTGCAGTGGGATTCCAGGGAGAAAAGACGGTGAAACATCAAGACACAGACCTGGCACAGTGCTCACAGGAAATATCCAAGAAAAATAAAAAGCTGTACAATATAATTAATCAACAAAGTCATATGGTTTAGCTTAAGCATGATTTCAATGTTTTAGAGTTAGATTCAGTATTAGGAGACCAGGCCTGAGACGCTGGCAAAGCTCACTAGAACAAAACATTTTAGACTTGTGAAGCAAGTTTTGGCCTGCTCCATTTGAATAAGCTCAGAGCAAGAATAGTGAAAAAGTTAAGACTGTCTTGTGTTAAAAGCTCATCTTCTGTTAAACTAACTTAACAGATGGCTGAATCTGAAATAGACTGTGATACAGACTATAAGTTGTACTCGTATTTTTTAAGCATAAGTTGCTTACTTAGATGATATTTTGATTATTAGTATGTAGAAAAATGTACCTATAAACTAATTAAAATTCTCTGGGGTCACTAAGTCAAGGTAGTAGTGATCTGTTTTTTTTTTTTTAAAATGCTTATTTTTATTTTATGTGTATGAGTCTTTTGTCTCCATGAATGTAAGTGCACATGTGCATGAAATACCTATAGAGACCAGAAAAGGGTGTGGGATCCCCTGGCACAGGAGTTATAAAAGGTTGTTAGCTACCACATGGGTGCTGGGAACTGAACCCAGGTCCTCTGCAAGAGCAGCCAGTGCTCCTAACCACTGAGCCATCTCTCCAGCCCTGGTAGTGATCTGTTTTAATCAGAATAACTTTCTGCCTGGCCTATAAATAAATTCTACAATATCTAATTTAAAAAATCATTGAGGCTGAGTCATATATGTGGGACATGCTTAAAATCCCATCACTGGGGAATGGAGGCTGGAGGATCTTGAATTTGAAGCCAGCCTGGACTACATAGTAAAACCCTGCTCAACAAAACAAAAGAGGAAGGAAGAAAGGAAGGAGGGAGGGAGGGAAGGAAAAGGAAGGAAGGGGTAGGGGAGAAGGGAGAAGGGAGGGGAAAGAGGAACCAGGGAAGGGCAAGGAAGTTAAAGAAAGGGAAGGAAAAGCTGGAGCTAGAAGGGCAGTTAGTGATTTCATCTATTGAAATTCATTGTTGTGAACAAGTCAAAGAGCTTGTTTGTTTTCCATTACGGGAATGACAGCCTGAAGCTTGATTTGGTCATTTATACTACAGAACAGCAATAACTATATTGACTTCCAAAGCTACCCAGCTCCTTATTTCTTCCTGTTTCTATAAGCCAGAGGTAAGTGAGGAAGAAAAAGTGACTTTCATGAAAGCCCATTTCAGGGAAGGCTCTCTTGAAAGGCTCGTGTTTTCATGCTAGTTCATCATTTTAGAAATAGAACACTATAGAATCACCATAAGCATATAGCCAGATTATGTTCCAATTTCTTCTCCTAGGGTTGGGAAGTATGTCAAAGTTCAGGAAAATGCTCAAATGAAAGGCCAAAATAAAGACGAATTTTTAAAAAGTTATCTACAGAAATTTTTTTTTAGACAGGATCTCCCTGTAGCCCTAGCTGGCCTGGAACTCACATAGACCAGGCTGGCCTTGATTTCAGAGATCAGTCTGCTTCTGCCTCCTGAGTGCTGGGATTAAAGGTGTGACCACCATACTGAGCACATGCAGAACTATGGTAAGAAAATAATTAGGAACTCTATTAGTCTGCTTTCATACTGTGTTATCTTTTTTGTATATGCTCTATACAAAATTTATAATAAATGCAGTACATTAAAAGACTGTGTTCTTAGACACTTCCATTAGCAAAAACTCACAGCTCTAATCTAGAGAAATCTGCATATCTATTCTCCCATTTCGCTGCAGAATGAAAATGCCCCATACTCACGGTCATTTTCTTCTTGAATCTGGATAGTAATCATATCGATACAGTTCTGAATTTCATTCCAGCTTAAGGTATCCTGCCCTTGAGATAAAGCTTCTAGTTTAATGGAGAGTAGTGCGTTCGCATAACTGTGAAAGAGAAAACAGTAACAGCACCCATCAGGCATTCATTTTTTGCCCATGTTGAATATCTTAAATTTGACCTATCAGCCAAATGGAGATGTTAGAGGAAGTTAGACCAAGAATAGCCAGGCAAGTAAAATTGTCTTGTATAGCTTTGCCACCAACTTTTATGTCGTTGGTGTTTTTTCTAAGATTTATTTTATTTTTAAATTATGTGTGTGGGTATGTGCAGGTAAGTGCCATTGCTCATGGAGGCCAGAGCTGTTGGATTATCCCTGGAGCTGGAGTTATAGGTGGTTGCAAGCTGCCCGATGTAAGTGCTGAGAACCAAACTTGGGTCCCCTGCAAGAACAGTACAATGTCTTAATGGCTAAGCCATCTCTCCAGCCTCACCATTGGTGTTTTATTATATTCAGTTTAATCAAAGTTCCTCACAACCTAGTCTCATACGTAACACAAGCAAAATGAAATTTTCAACAACATGAAATTACTCGTTTCTCTTCCCCTTTTCAAAGTGCTGGGATTGAACCCAGGTCCCGGGCAAGCACTCTACCATTGAACTATAACCTCAGCCCTCTTCAACTTTTATGTTGAGATGGCATCTCACTAAGTTGCTTTGGCTGGTCTTGAACTCACTATGCAACCCAGATAGTCTTGAACTTGTAATCCTCTTGTCTGAAGCTCCTGAGTAGCTGAGATCAGCAGTGTGTGCACCACACCTTATTAGGCCCATCAAAGGGTCAAATACAACAAAAATACACTCCCCAAAACCATGCTCAATAACTCAGATCCTCCCTGTTGTTTTCTTGATGATACAGTGCAGAAGTAGTTGAGCTAGAACACCCTAGATTTTCTGGAACTTGTCCATTTCTCCAGGGCAGTGACTCTTGTATGTCCACTCCCTGTCAGGAAACTGAGGTCTTTGAGCTTCAGGAAAACAGACTTTGGTCAACCATTCTGATTATTTTTTTCTTACCGGGAGAAATCTGAGTGGAAAACTTACCCATTAAAAATAATATTTTTAATGATTCTTTGAGAATTTCAGACAATGTATTTTGATCATATTCAGATTCTTCCTCCATAAGGCCAGTTTCAGAAGATGGAGTCCATACCTGACACTGTTTTGGGGCCAAGAACCTGTGGCTAGACAGGTTGTAGGGGAGATTGTACTACTATTATTCTGCTAATGGACATAGTATTAAACAAACTCCTAAAGATATCATTATACCCACAGATTAGTGCATCTCTCGACTCTCACCAGAGAAGCTTCTTCTTTCAGGAGATGGTGATTAACACAGAGATCCACAAATGGACAATGTACAGAGAATAAGAGACTACAAAATTCTCAGCTTTAAATTGGATACCTATACCACATCCTCTCCTCTCAAGGTTCAGGAATCACTGCAGAAGAGGGTATGGAAAGACTGTAAGAGCCAGAGGTAGTGGATGATACAAGGAAACTGTTTTCTAGAAACTTATCCGTCTTGATATATTGCCACGAAACTCATTTTTTAGGAGTCAATCTTACCATTGAAAAATCATACAGCCAATGTTATAACCACAGGCCAACATGAGCTAGTAATTCAAAAGTAGACAGTTGAGAGTTTAGCTGCTTTTGCATCTTTATACTGGGGAAATAAAGAACAATCGTTAAGGTACGCATGACTTATTTGCAGTGTTTAGCTGATTAGCTCTTAGAGTGTGCTACTAGCAGAGGTTAAAAAAAGTAAAACAGTGAGCCAAAAACTTTTCCTGCAAGTCATAAATGTCCTCAAAGTTCTTCATGCTTCAAGGTCACACTGAGCTAGAGAGATGGCTCAGTGGTTAAGAGCACTTGCTGCTTTTGTAAGTTTTGAGTCCCAGCACCTACATGGTGGCTAACAATCATGCATAATTCCAGTTTCAGGGGCTCTAACACCCTCTTCTGGCCTCCATGGGCACTGCATGCACATGGTGTACTTACGTACATACAGGCAAAACAGACATCCACATAAAATAAAAATAGTTAAATAAAGAGCACACTGAGGTGTCTTCCACAGAAAGTAGCATAAGAAAAACAAAATCTTTAAAACAGGAAGAGGTAACTTCCAAGACCATACTACATGCAGGCCTAAAGCCGGGTCAGGATCATGAATGAGATTTTTGCCTTACCATGAGTTACAAACCTAAGAAGTTACACTACTAGCATGTATAAATAGCACCGATGACAATCTTAGCGGTGATAGATGGCAATTGGTACAAGCTAGCTCCCCTTATAGAATGGGATCATTCTTTAAGAAAGTGAAAATTCTCTCTGGGCATATCATATACTCCAAGTCAAAGTGATAGATCTGCAGGAACAAGATGAGAAAGTTTGAGGATAAATACAGAAAACCTAGCAGCACCATCATCTCTAGAAATGCACACCAGCTAGCTAAAGGGAAAAGTTTTAGGAGGAATCCAACAGAACTGTGCAGGCTCTTCCAAATGAGAATTAATCTTCAGGATAAAGGAATAAACTTTGAGAACCATTCCACAGTCTACCCCCTGCAGATCTACATCTTTCCTCTCCAAACGCTCTTCACTTTCTGCCATGGACAGACTAAAAAGGCTGCTGGTCCAACAGACCTGGGATGCAGCAGGTGATTATTAACCACTTACCATATGCAGAATGCAGGGCAGGCACTACAGAAGGATTAGGAAGGACAAGAGGTAGTATCTACCACCACAAGCAACAGACCAGAGGGGAAGAAAACACAAATTCAAAAGGGTTCAAAAACAGAGCACAGAAAGGTCAGGAAAGCAGACATATTTCCCAAGAGAGATTGGCAGATGTCAAAGAAGATGTGGATGAAATTCTCATTGGTGGTATACCTTCCCTGGGATAAGTACTGACTTAAGCACTGAATCTTCAGAGCAGTTTTGCAGGCACAGAGGTGGTGGTGTTGTTTCATTTGTTCACAGACGAGGAACAAGAGGTCTGGTTGGGAAAAGTCAAACAGACCATTTTGGGTCCAAGACTTATATTCTTTGACCATTAGTTCCCAGAAGAGAGAACTTGGCTGAGGTGAGAAGCATGAACTCATTCATGAAAGCATCCTCTATAGTAGGCAAGGTGCTGATACAGTGCTGGGTGAAGGTACCAGGTGCTGGGTGAAAGACAGAAGGCCAGCAAATCTACTGTGTGGTTGGAATCAGCCGGGCTGAAGCACACAGTACCAGTATAGATGGATGCAGCCAGAGCTAAGGTCAGAACATGTTTGGAGTTTCCAGTCAGCTCCTAATTCACATGAGAATGGAACAATAAAAGAACATACCTGGCAAGATATGTGGCAAGGAGATTATCAGAGTAACCAACTACTCTCTGATTGGATTTAAAGCTCTGTGTACAAGATGGAATTCATCTCATGCCTGGTACCATTAACTGGGTCAGAAAATGCATACTCCTAGGTGAGAACCTAATACTATTTTGATAAATGGGCATAATAACAAACTGTCTTCCGAAGTTTTTTTTTTTTTTCTTTTGAGACAGGGTCTTACTATAGACCCCTAGCTAAACTGGAACTTGCTATGTAGACCAGGCTGGTCTCATCACTCTGCATTCCTCTGCTTCCTGACTGCTGGTATTAAAGGCATGTACCACCATGCCAGGCTTAAATTCTTATCTTTATGCCCATAGATTAGTGAATATTCCAACCCTCACCAGAGATGCTCCTTTTTACAGTAGGTCATGATTAATACTGAGATCCACAACTGGTCATTGTGTAGAAAATAAGAAACTATGGAGTGCCTAGTTCTAAATGGGACAGTTATCTCCCTCTTCCAAGGCTTAGTGCTCATAGCAGAAGAGGGGTTGGAAAGATTGTAAGAGTCAGAGGCAGTGGATCTCTGCCGCAAAAGAAAATTTTCCAGATACAACAGTGCTGTTGCACACATGAACTCATAGTGGTTGTGACCGTCTGCATAAGGTCTGCACAAGATCAAGCCAGCCAAAATCCCAGCATGAATGAAGTCCCACTCATAGCTGAGGAGCTATGGGCAATTGATGGGTGCTGGGAGAGGAAGAGTCAGCTTTCTTCAGCTTTCTTAAGGGGTGTGGCTCCTGAGAGGCTACTGGTGTTCCAGTAGTTGGTTCTATACACATGTGCATACAGGAAGCACTAAGTTGCCTCAGTGAGTTAAAAAAAAAAAAAAAAGAGCACATGAAGTTGGGAGGTAAAAGTGGTAAGAGGGGAGGGAGAAGAATTGGAGGAGAGGAAGGAAGGGGTGAATTTGATCAAAACACATTTAATGCATGTATGAGATTTTCAAACAATTAAAGAAATCAAGGCAAAAAAACTCAACAAACTCAGCTACATTTTAGAATAATTAATCTCAGGATAGGGTACAGTCATAGTAAAGGCAAATGCATAAATCAGTTTTGTGAAAATTAGACAAAATAACCTTTCTGGGTAAGTACAGCCCTAGGACTGGAAGCCTTGATGAACAGGTAGCAAAGCTATGTCAAGGGAATGCTGCTAGGCAGAGCAACATTTTTCAGACTTGCTAACCTGCAGACCCAGGATTCCAACAACCCAGACTGAGAAGGCGACACAGAAATAAAAATGAAAGCTAGGCATGGTGAGACACGTCTATAATCCCAGTACATAGGAGACTGAAGCAAGACCACCAGTTCCAGGATAGCCTGAGCTACAGATCACTAAGGGCCAGTGCAACTGCCAACACGAGCACCAAAGTGGACCCTGTAAGTTCATGTCAACACTAGGCCATCCAGATGCTTAATCCTGATGCACTTAAACATTATAAAAATCAACACACATTTAAAATGTTTTTCATACAGAACCCTTGAACTCTGTATCTGTAGGTGCCAGCTGAAAACCACAGATATCTTTACTGTATTGATGTGTGTCCTCCACAGGTCCATGTGTTAAAGATCTGGTCCCCAGAGGGGTACTGCTGGGAGGTGGTGGAGTTTCTTGGAGAGGGCCCTAGAGGGAGGTTCTTAGGTCTTTGGTCAGTAACCCTGATTATGGTACATCAGGCTTTTTTGCTTCTTGTCTCATAAGGTAGTAAGGCATTGCTCTGCCACAAGTTCACACCAAGATATGCTGCCTCTCTAGAGATCAAAGCCACAATCCCACTCAATCATGGACTGGAAACTCCTCAACTATGAGTTAAAATAAACTTATGCTCTTTTATTGGCATGTCTCATGTAGCCCGGGCTGGTTTCAAACTTGCTATGTAGCCAAGAAGGACCATGAACTCCTCATCCTTCTGCCTCTGTCTTCTGATTGCTGGTATCACAGGTATGTGCCACCATGCCAATTCTGTTCTTTTTTTTGCTTTGTTTTGTTTTGGTTTGGGGGGTTCTTTTTGAGACAGGGTCTCCCTGTAGCCCCAGCTGTCTTGGAACTTACTATGTAGACCAGGCTGGCCTAGAACTCACAGAGATCCACCTGCCTCTGTCTCCTGAGTGCTGGGATTAAAGGTGTGCGCCACCACGCCCAGCCAATTCTGTTCTTTTTAAGTTAATTATTGTATCATAAACTTGACTCATGTAGGTTATGTGGCTCTCAGAGTAGGACCATCTTCTTAAGGGGTAAATGCAGAGGGAAGTTCTGATCATCAAAATGGATAACTGGGGTGGAAGGGGAGGTACTGTCATTTAAAGGACAGAGAGGCTTGGGATGCTGCATACATAGAGCAGTCTTGCTCACAAATATTCACTATTAGATTTTAAGCTTCATCAAGGGGTGACCAGCTCAGCTTCGTATTCTCACATCATCTGGTTAGGTAAGAATGATCAATGTCTGAATGAGGACAGAGAGAGGCAGGAATTTCACTGTGGAGGTTATTATAGAAACAAAGTGACAGTCATGATAGCTAAAGGAGGGTAGTCCCTGGAGGGAAACATTTTGCAGTGACACAGGGACACAAGCAGGCTCCTTATTGCACAATGGTGCTAGTCAAGCAGAGAAGAAAACTCAAGATCAGACAGAAATTTCTAAGCATGGAGAAGTGTGCAGGGAGCAGTGGAAGCAGGAGGAAGCAACTTGGAAACAGACTCAGGACTTAGGAGGAACAAGTGGCTGAATTCAAGTAGAACAAGATTCCAGGAAGACTAAAAACAAGGCAAATCTACTGTCCCTTCACTACTTTTTGGTCATTTTTGTATATGGGCAAGCGATCCAACACCACGTGCTCAGAAAATAAGACAACTCTTGATTTTCCTGTACCTGACCCAAGATCAGCTAACCTTCCCATTGGAGCGGTCCTAGAATCACTGGCTAAGATCTGTGTAGACATTGCCCCCTGGTGGTCACTATTCAGGATTTTTCTTATTTTTGCTTGTCTTGCTGAATCTCTAATTTGAGGGTTGAGGGCAAAGCTCAGCTCCGTGGCTCCCACTACCCAAAAGGAAAAAAAAAAAAAAAAAAAAACTCTGACTTGGCTTTTGATCCTAGCCTTTTAATTTTCTTTCCAGATCCACTGCAATGTTACCTAATATTAGCAATTACACTATCTAGGAACCTGAAATGAAAAATACCAAACTGAGGTTGTTACCCTCTTCCCGACCCACAGTGCGTTCAGGGCTCTTATGGTTTAACTATTAGAAAACTGAGGTTTGGACACCAACTTAGGGTTCACGACTCCTGATTCAGTTTTCTCATTAGTGGGAAGAAAGCACTGGGTTAGCTAATGTCAAGCTGCTTCCAATTCTTCTACCTTCTGTCATCTCCAAGAGAAGCCCAAGGGGAGGTATAAGTTCAGCAGTTCCTCTAATTATGGTCTATTAAATAATCTTTGCTTAGGATGAAACCAGTCATTAACTGCCATAAGACGATCATTTTCCTATTGCTTTTGTCCCCCAGCAAAGGAGTACTACAAAGAAGTCCTCTAGTTAGGATCCTTAACACAGAGCAGACCAGCTCTCTATAAATACAAGCAGGGTATGTAAACTTTCCCACGAAGGAGTAAATCATTAATTTGGGAGATCTACCAAGCGTACTGCTACACTGAAAGAAGGTTTGGAAGTTGCTCCTTACCGTTCCACGTGCGCCTCATCCAGATTGTTGAAACCTATGGTGGGGCTTCTGAGTTGATTCTGCACAGCGACAGGGTCGTTGCTATCTAAGGCCTGGTTTAGCAAAGCCACAGCAGACAACATTTCCACTGCAATCGAGAGCTCCTCATGGGTCAAATAGTTCTGTTGGCAAACATACGGCAAAGTAAGCTCTTCGAGTCACACACCCTGCCTACGTGATGGGGGTATAGAACACACAGGACATGAACATGCCCACCTGCTTTACATTGGCTTTAAGGAAGGCCAGGTAAATGGCACCTAGGCTTCTTTAGATTATTGTTTGGGGGACTGTGTTACTTCTAACCCACAGTTAAGATGTCACAAATCTCTGCATCCCGCGGTTGATCTCTACTCTGAGTTGTATTGGCTGCCTGACAGGCTACATCTAACCTGGTAATTAAGCCAAGCATTAGACAAAGCTGGCTGAGCTGTCCAGGTAAGATCTCAGTTAACGATATCAGTTCAGAGCCTCAGAGAGAAGAACTTCACCTAAAAGTTCTAAGCCCAGAAGACTAGATAAGATCATTATTAAGTCAAGAAAATTGATTCCCCAAAAAGCTGGTCTAGGTTAGGCTTTATAAATTGTGTAGACATGCAGCCGGAGATGACTCAGTGGTTAAGATCACTGGCTGCTCTTGCAGAGGATCTCGGTTGGGTTCCCAGCACCCATATGGCAGCTAACCACTGTCTGTAACTCCAGTTCCGAGGGATCTAACACCCTCTTCTGACCTCTGTGAGTACTGTATGCACATGGTGTACTTATGTACATGCAGATGAAGCACTCATATACATAAAATTTTTTTTTAATTGGGTAGAAACTTCAAAATGTATTATAAGGTTTAGATTTTTGATGAAATTGAAGGTAAATTATAAAGCAGGAATCTCCACATTTATGTAACTTACGAT